TACAGCATTGTAACTTTTATGTATAAATAGATATCGACGTCTAAAGGTGATTTTTTACCCAGATCAGAATGATTAAGTGTTCAGCTGTGAACATCCTTTATACTGTTCCCTTCTTGTTGTTATTCTCTCTATAGAGAGGAGATTTTGCAATTTATCACTCCTAGATGTGTCTCCCCAGGTTAAGTATCTCTGCAAAGCCTGTGTCCTGGGTGCAGAGTCCTGGGGGTGTGCTGGCTGGGCTGTAAGTCTCTGCAAAAATGAAATCAATCATGCTTTTTGATTAAAAATGCAAAACACATTTACTCCTTTAAAACACAACCTTGGTTTGGTTTTGTTTTTAACCTTTGAAATCAGAACAGGAGAACTGCTCATTTCACACAATTGTAGGCATCATTACCCTTAGTGACAAACCTGACAAAATAAAAGGAGTAACCTTGATCTAGACAAATGAGAGGGATGCTTTCCTTGCTTACGCTGTATGATAGTCAAAGCAAGACAATCTTACTCAGCTAACTGTAAGCATGCAGTGATTCTTGGGTGTTTATTTCCATACAATGGATTCTGCATGTCTGTTATGTTAATTTTATTTTTTAATTAACACAAGATCTTTAAATTCTCTGATTATATTGAATAGTTTATTCAACAAAAGCAGTTTTAAGATTAAAAAAAAAGTGGTTTAAGACCACTTTTTTAAGACTTTTTTAACATAGGTCTCATCTGACCTATGTCAGACCATACTGACCACTATCTTGGAAAGAGAAGCTAAGAAATATATATTTGTTAGTTGTAGCAACACAGGTTTTGCTTTTAACTATAGCAGATGGAATGTTTTTCAGGTGGAAATGTAATTTTCTTTTGTGAAGGTGTATCCTTAAGATGTATATAGATGCATATGACACTATGTATGCAGTGCACTTTACTTATGACTCCCCTGTTCCCAGACTGGACCTCACTGGATTTCCAGAATCAGGTTGTGAGGAGTAAGGTCTGCAGTGCCAAATTTACGACGATATGTACATAGATAGCCAGCTGGGATATGAAAGTTTCTAAATACTGGAAATCCCTAATTTGCATTCAGACTGGATGAGTTGGCCTGAAATGAAATTCCTCATCTTCCTCTCTTTGCTGTGCCTTGGTTAATGTTGTGAAGAGGGCAAAACAGATTCCTTATAGATGAATCTAAATTGGAAAAATGTCTCCAGCTGCTAATGGCTTTCACTCCATGGGACCAGACCAAAGGTATTCTGAAGTTAAACCCCCAGATCCCTACAGTATGGATACTGAGTCCTCAACACCAGCTGTGTTGTTCTATTAATCTGCTCCTATTGTATTTCATTACTTGCTAACGTAGATATAGCCATTACTGAAATGCGTTGGAATTTGATGTTTCTGTAAATCACCGAAGGTACCTTTGAACACCTCAGCAGGTCAGACTCTATGACAACAAACTCATTTTTAGTGCTCTTTACCAAAATATAAAAGAATTTACTAAATAAAAATATATTTCCTTGCTCCTAAATATGTTTCACAAAATAGGAAATGCCTTTACAAACAGGTATTTATTAAAAAAAAATAAAATAATAAATAGTGTAAAAGTGTTTGGGTACTTTTCAGAAAGTTGAAAACACATGATCTTTGTGATCATGAACAGGCAATCTAGGAAAACTGTGGTAACTTGGGACTAAAACATTATTTTCTGTTAGTAGAGTATTAATAAATTCTTACCTGCATGGTGTTAATAACGATAAAATAGCTGCTACTAAAGTCAATAGTCGGCTATAGTTGACTTCAGTTTGGCAGAATAAAGCCTTGAATGAATACACACACAATTTCCTTCTTGCTTGAGGTGCATTCATTCAACTTTTATCCTTTGCAGATAAGTAGAGACTCCTGAGAGACCTGCAGCTTTAACAGCAGGAGCACACTACAGCTTCTCTGGTTGCAAAACCACTTTAATCTGGAGGTAACAAACAGGAGAGATTAATGGCTTTAATTTGGACGCATTCAGCCAAGTGCCACATTCATTCTTTAGCAAAGATAGAAAGGACATGATTACTTGGAAATTAAGAAAGAAAATATTGACTTGGTTCATGATCTTAAAATGCATTCTTATTTACCTTAAGATATTTTTCATATCACCACGGAGATAAGGAATATTCTAGTACACTGTAGTCCCAAATCAGCAAAACTGCTTAAGTATATGTTTAAGTATTTGATGAAATTTGATGAACTTCAATAGCAAAAGATGTATGCGCATAATTAAAGTTATAGATAAACTGGCAACTTAAGCAGGTGTTTAAACATTGGAGTAGTTTTTACATCTGTTTAATGTTCAGTGATTTGACTGATAGACTCCAAGTCTACCGCCTTCCTTTAGCTGAAGAGCGTTTTGAATTATGCATTGTACAAAATAAAAGTAATGTTATAAAACTTCATAGTAGAAGGAGTAAGCAAAAACAGATACAGGATTTCATGCCCTACAAAGGAGAGAGATTAAAGAAGGACGAAGCTTTTTAAATATAGTACTAATAGTAGTTAGATTTAAATGTACATTAAAAAAAATCTCTGGAAAATATGAGTTTAAAGGATTAATTTAAAGTAACTGAGCTGAACAAAGTGATTTTTATCATGAGGCACACTCACTTGGTGATCTGCGACATGGTGCCTGACTGCTGCAGCCGTCGTGGTCACGGTTTGGTGTCTGCCGTGCCCCGAAGCCCTGCAAGAGCTTCAACCCAGAGTGCTGTATACGTAACAGACTTGTCCTCCAATCCAAAGAGGAGCAATACAGCCCAAGAGTGAGAGAAATCATTGTTTTTACAAGGGGGCAACTGAGGCATAAAGAGGGCAGGTGACGTCCCCAACATTTCACAAGAAGTCTGTGGAGGAGAAAGAAGCTGAAGCCAGTTTCCCGGTGCTTTGGACACTATATTAGACTCAAGAATGATCTGCAAAGTCATTCTTAAAATGCAGACAGCGTCTTAGCGTCATTATTTCTCAGCACAAATCTTGGTGAGTTGGAAAAAGACTCAGTCTCTGCAACACTAGAGGCTTTCACCAGACACGCTTTTGGATAGATATACCTCAGATTTTAGATTCTTCCAGACTAGTTTTGTCAGCAAAAGTGACTGAATCCTTTGACACAGAAATAATTTATAAAAGGGTTAGGCTGAACTTTGATACATCTACTGCAGATATTTTTCCTTATTCTATACAGTGGTGTCTAAGGACTGTCTGACTCTTTTCTGCAGAACGTGAGAGAGACAGGCTGGGATTCCAAGGAAGGGCGCAGAAATGGGGTCGATATAGTTTAACTGATAACTTCCATGCTGTCCTCGTTAACGAAACCTTTTCTCAAGTCAGTTAAAAGAAAAGGTTTAGAAAGCAGAAAAGTGCAAAGAAGTGAAGAGAACTTATGTAAAGTCATATTAGCTGATACTCGCTTTCAAAGGCACGAGGAAATGCAGTGGTAATGGGTCCAGAAAACTTCATTTTTCTGTTGCTCTAGGAGTGAAGGAAAGTTTTTCCTTGAGTGAAGGAAAGTTTTTCCTTGGTGGTTGATATGGGTATTGCAAAAAATGGGGCCTAAGACTTTTCTGAAGATTAACACTTGACATGTGAGACTGCAGCCAGGAGAAGCTAAGCACCGTTCTATCCTTTGTGACAGTGTGACATACTCAACACTTTTTAAAACAAGGCCATTTAAATATAGCTGATAGGCTGAGAAAGGCAAGTTTTAAAAATTATACCTAAAAGCCTTAAAATATCAAAGAGAAATAAGTCTAAATGTTACAAGTGTGAAGCTAGGCAGATGGTGTGATGGTTTTTGGATTGGTGTCAATTATGCAAGTTGAGGGAATTAGGTAGGACTCTATTAATACTGGGAAAGCAGGGGGATGGAGCCAATTTAGCCAGTTCCCAGTTCTTCCCTTCCCAGCCTAAGCTGAATATCTTTGAAAGTGGTGTTATTTTTTGGAAAATGGCTGTGGACTAATGCAGGGAAATTTGTTCCTGAGCTTGTGAGGGCCTGTCCTTCCTATACTGTCCACACATGGCTATAGAAGCAATAAAACTAAAATGGTCAAATACACAAGATATGCAAGTTCTTAGTTAGCTAAATCGCCAACAGTAAGAAATCAAATAAAGCAAAAAACACCCCCTCCCCAAACCCTGAAAATACCCCATCTGTCCATTGCATGATAGAGCTATTCAGTCCAAGAGTCCCTTAAGCCCATGTCTGCCTTATGAGACTCCAGGGCAAAAAGCGTCTGTATTTTGTGTCAAGACTGCAGTGATAGAATATTCTTACAGTGGATTTAGTTCATCCCCAGTAGTTACTCCATTAATAGTGGTGGCTCTTTTACAGTATATTGCTTTGAGGCACTGCACTTTGAAGCTCAATTCCCTTCTTTCCTGCAGAAAGAAAAATAAGCCTACTGCCTCTGGGAAAAGGAATTGGCTCAGAGAAGAATTATATTAGCATGACATATATAAGAAAAAGGAACTTGCAAGAGAGAGGACAATGAGCATCTGATTTCTTGTCTCATGGAGACGGAGTCTCATGTCTGTATGGAAGGTCACCATATGACTCATACGCTACTTCACTTGAGAGTTAACTTGAAACCCCTCTCTTGTGTCTGTTTTGCTTGTATGGTTACTGCAAATAAGAATTTCTTGCCTGTCCTGGCACTGACACAGTTAAATAATAGCCAGAGAGAGTTAGCCATGCCTTTCTGATCTACGATCATGTGTGCACACTCGAGCAGTTTGTGTAGTAGTAATAAAGGAAAAGCAGACAAAAATTATGCATACAGACTGTCATTCTTATAATAGTTGAATGTATACTGTAATGACACTCCAGCAAAAGAAAGAAAGAAAGAAAAGAAAAAATTTTAGTTCCCCACTATCTCCCACAAAGGGCATTTTCTTCGGGTAGCATTCATCCAGTTTTGGGTTCAGGAGCAACGTCATCTGTTTGTGTGCTGAAGAACTGTCAAGCAAACTTAAATTTTATTTTGATGTGTTATGAACTTGTAGTAGACTGCTAGCAGGCAAGTCACTAATTGAATGCATGTTAGTGACTTTAAAAAAAAATTTGCTAAGTAGATTAAAATAAAATGCAAATTAAAGGGAAAAAAATGTTCTCTATGCTTAATATTCCATGAGCTAGTTAACTAGTTCTGAATTTCTTATTTTAAATATTGTGGAAATGTACTTAATCTGCAAATCTGATTAAGAACGCTAGCTCCTAACAAGATGCTAATAATTTGATCAACCATACTGTAAAATATACATTAGTCTGTTGACTTTGGGAAATAGTTTAACTGCATGCTAAACGGAAAATATAGACAAAAGAGCATATTTGAATGTGGTTGTCTTAATATTTTGTATCACTGATTGGAGGGTAACATTTAAAAATAAACAAGTTTCAAAGGAATGAAATGGGATAAATGTAACATCATGAGTATAGTAGTTAAGAATTGCATAGACCATTAATCTTTAAAGTTTCCTATTTGAGGCTATAAATACATTAATTCAGCTATTGGCTCTTCACTGCTATCTTCATTATGCAGGTCACACAGAGGTTGCTATAGTAACCTTGCTTTAGTGACAGTAAAGAGTCTGGCTAGCCATATAAATAAAATAATCAATGATTATTTGCAATCAATGACTTGATTAATGTAACGCTTAGGTCCACGGGATGAGTACTCAGGCCCTTGTGGATTAGGCCCTTGGCTTGTGGAGCATGAGAAAAGGCTGACACTGGAAGCCAAGTTCATGTGGAACAGGTTAGTAGTTACAAAGGTGCTCTCCACTGCCAAAGCCCTTACATTGCGGCATATTCTTTGGTTTTTGCAGTCTACAATTACACTCTCAGAAGACACTGCCGGTACTGACCTGCCATGTGTGAACTTGCCCTCAGGGACGGAGATATGATTTGGGTATTTGGAAAACCAAGAAAGGGTGATTTCTCTGAAGCTAAGGTAAGCCTAAGCTGTTAAATACAATTGTTAAATACACAGCCTAATACTAGTGGAGATTAGACAACTTCTTTCAGAGAAAACAGTAGATTTCACAGTGGTTAGAAAACAGGAATCAATTTAATGGTAGTGCTGGTCTGTCACAAGGACATGTACTGATGGTAAAAGAACAAGAAGTTTTAAGTTAGAAAAAGTGGATTTTGGAATCAGATTGCCTACGAAACCAAGCTGAGGATTTCTGACAGTTACTCCAGCGGTGTGAGCCCCAGGTGAAGCTTTATGGTATTTAGGTACCAGAGAGGACCGAGGTGAAAGCTTTAGGGGAAAAGCTATAATTTCTGATGTAGTTTTTCCCATACTAAGGAAACTCACTATAGGAGTTACTTTCTTTTACCAGGCCTCCTAGTTCTGTGAAACTTGTAGGACCTTTGAGGCTTTACCCCAAAGGTGATTTTAGTTAAATGTGGCCACTGGTTTCAAAAGTAACGGAGGGAAGCAGGTAAAGACAGATCCAGTAATTATGAGTGCTCTGTTTCCATTGGAAACTAAGCCTAAAAATACTTATGAAGCCACAGCTCAGCTGTGCTACCAATTGAAGTTTCAGGCTAAGCCTGTGAAATAACACTCGAGGCTAAGCCAGCAAAATAAAAAAAAAGAGTTGAAGTTGTAGTCTCTTGTGAGCCTTCTTTCAGTCTTCTGTTCTGAAGAAAGAACAAAGAAAGCCCCTCATGCCTTTAGAAGGGTCCCAGCTCTTTTCTTTTTTGTCTTGCCCTGAAAAGCCAGATCAGTCTTGTGACTTGCTTTGTTGAGCCTGTCAGCCCACTCCCTGAGAGAGCCTAGTACGGTAGTGACAGCTTTCTGCGGGGAAAAGGAAAGAACGATTCTGCATCAGCAATTCAATTTGTATTGCTTTCCTTCCCTCCTTCCCACTACAAAGGTTGTTTTGTTTGTGCTCAAGATCCTACTAAAAAGTTTGGCTGTGAAATGAACCCTCCTATGGAAAACAGGGAAGGGGTAGAGCACATGGCTTGCGGCTGCTGGAGACAAACTTCTACCACCCCCTCCACCAGCTCATACTAAAAATGCCTTTAGCGTTAGCTGGTTATTGTATTGGGCCACACAGCTGCAGAGCAGCTAACAAGACAGCAGTTGTTTTTTCTGAATTCTTGACAGAAATAATTTTATGATATAAATAGACAGGAGAGAACTTGAAAGAAGAGAAAAGGTACTTTTCTCTCATTCATGGGATATAAGAAATAGCTGGGTATTTGTATTTTGCTTACATTGATATTTGCTTCAGTTCAAAATTTTAGGTGCTGTCAGAAGGGTGGGAGAGAGATGAGCATTACTTGAGCAGACTGAATAACATTAAACTCACTGAATTTGACCTAAAAATTATCCCAGTGGTCCCGTTGGTGTGTAATCTCTGTTGATAAAGTAGGTTCTGATCCTGAAAAACCTCTTTTTCATGTAGGTGTTACTTTAACAGCTTGTTCCTTGGGTAATCAAGGATTTGCAGGACCAGAGAAATATCTGCTTCTTTCTTCTTCCTCTCAGACGTGAAGCGTGTATCTTGAGTACAGGGGAGTTCTTTGTGTACGTTAGTCTTATGAAAAGGTAGCCCAACATAAAGCACTGTTAAGCACGATTCAAGGTTTACTTTACAGTGAAAAGAAGATAGGTATGGCCTGTGTACCCCAGGGTCCTCAGGCACCAAAATCAATGGATAATTGGTTTTGAAGGCCCAGAGCTCTGTGCTTAAATCCTGTGTGCAACAGCAGAGGAAGTTAAGAGGAAAGTGTATATTTGTCTGCTTTTCTTTTGCTGCCAGAAAAGACAGCGGTTTACAAACCTTAATGCCTGTGTAAGAAATTTTTGTACCTGGAGTGTTTACTGCTTTCTTAAGCTCTGTGTCCTTTTTCAAGTCAAGGCTGTGAATTTTCAAGGTAAACAGGCATGTAATCCTCAGCAACTTCATGTGTTCATGCCAAGGTATGGGATGCAGAATGTCTGGGTGGTTAGTCCTAGCAATCTCCTCCTATCTTTTTTCGCTAGCGTGACGGAGATTTGACCTTTGTCTCTGCCGTCTGGTACTGCAAGTTCAAATATTGGCTTGGGATTTGAATGGAGCAAATGCATAGTCATCTTCCTCAACATAGCTGCCAGCTTGGATGTGTGAGACGTGGAGGAAGCTGCAGCTCATGGGGCTCTCCTGCGTTGGAGAAGCGCGCCAGCTCAGCTGGTTGCATCGCAGCACTGTCGATGAGTCCTGTGAAGGCATCGCATGAGTTTCTATTTATATATAGGATTGAGGAAGGGTGGAAGGAAGTAAGGGTGAATAAACCATTTTATTGAAAATTAGTTCATGCTTTCAGTGAAGGTCTATTTTTCCCTGTGAGCTTGCCAGCATCCCTTAATTCATATCACTTAGAATAAAATGACTTCTGGATTGGAAGAATCTGAATTAGAAGAATAAGAATAAGAAAGATTTGAATTGTCTTTTCTGTATTACTAAGTAATGAATACCTGAGGAGATACAAAATGTAATTTGGAAATGAATGTGGTAGAGCTGGTGATATGTTATCTGTATTATCTCTCATCTGAGGCCTTCAGTCAAAAGAGAAAGTTACCTGTTATTGTTAAAGAGCACTGCACCATTTCTTTTTTTTTCTTCTTTTCTGAGTAGGATTTTCTCCACATCAACCTTACAACTCTTTTCGGAGGAGATATGTGCTGTAACTTCATGTTAAACTTCCTAAATTACATTAACTTGTGATATAATTTATGTTTCATGAGTAGAGAAAGGAGAGAATCTGTGCTTCCATGCTGAATGACGGATCCTCACCAGTTTTTTGGAGTCTGATGATTTTTCCTTTTAGTTTCTTTTCTGAACAGTCTCTTCTCTGTGCAATTGCTGTGTGAACAGCATAGATCATACTTACATTACGCTGCGCTTCCCATAATCCACTTTCCTATGGTGGAAATGGAACTTTTTTTTTCTTCCAGATACATTGCTGAAACTATCTTATGTTAAGCTAAGTCATCCAGCAATGTAGAAGAGGTATTAATTCGTCCCATGAAGTATCTCTTTCGCTATGCTGAGTGAGAGAGGGCATATTTCTTAAACTCTGCACCTCGTTTTTCACATTGAGAAAATAGGGTTAGTATTATTGACCATAATAGTTCTATAATGCAGTGAAACCTAGTTAGCTGAGGCAAGATTGTACTGGAGAGGAGTGTGACCTGCCTCAAATTCCTCTCCAAATATTTCCCAGTGAAAGCTAGCAAACTGGAACAAGACAGTGCT